AAAAACAAGGTGCTGAATACAGTAGAGAAAATGTTACCACTGAAAGATTCCCTAAGAGGGAGAGCCGAGACAGCAATTAGAGGAATACAACTCATTCCACAGAACTGTAAGTGGATGGCCGAAGAGCTAAAGAAGAAATTCGGCAATAAGCCAACAAACAGGGCCAAAATCGTCCAAAAATTGATACATATGCGAGCAGCAAACAACTCAGGAGCGAGCTGCGCAGCAGTTTATGATAAAATCAGAATGCTGATTAACCAGATGGTTTCGGCAGGTCAAGATATTCGCGCCATACAGGACGCACTATGGACTGAGAAAATCTTGGAAAAGTTTCCGTACAACGTTGTGAAGAGTGTCCTTATTTCATTCAATTAATTAATTTAATTCATGGCGTACTTGATTTATCATAAGCGCTTCCACCGTTCCGTGGCCTTCAAAGTTAGTATGCGACACATTTTGGTGAAATAATCCCGTTTGTTTCATCACCAACCAAATTACACTGATGCAATATTGTTTTTTCAGTTTCCTTACATGATTCCATGGCCGAACTCCGAGGTCCGCGACGATAGCGTGCGATACACGTGATTGGCGCACCATGCATGGGGACCGAGGACCGGAAAGTGCTAGACCCACCAGCCAAAGATTTCGACACTATTTCTGGCGTTGATCGACGCCAGTGTGGTACACCATTATCCACTCGTGCACCTTTCACGCACTCCCTGTGCTGATTTATGGATGACATGTTGTGGCTCCGGACTTAGGTGTTTGATCAGGGAAGGCAGAAAATGAGAACGAAACAAAGTTCTCGCCTAAGGTGGTTTGCATATTGTTGCACAGCATTCGATTTAAGGAATCGGGCTTTACGTCTTTACAGTCATGCAATTCGGTTCGATAAGGAAACAAGGGGTGGTCACTCTTCTCAGTATATCACGTCCTTATACATATTTAGTGCCGCACAATAAAGGAAACGCTTATTTTGGATCATTTCTAATTCGAATTCGTGCAGAACGCCTACTTTGATCCTGGATCGTTCCTGGATTCCACGTCTACCGTCTCAGATATAAATGAGTAGTGACGCAAAATTGGACAGGTTCTTGATGTTGAGGTATAATATCAATCATGGAGGACAAAATAGCCTGCGAACTTATGATCAAACCTTAGAACCAAGACACTTCAATATAAGGCCCCTACTAGCACTATCACCAAGCTTGTAAAGCTGCGCTTATACTAAACTTTAAAAAAACTTCCTTCTGAACCGATTCACAGCGAAGAAAAAAGCGAAATCACGTTTCCAGAACAAGATTTCTTGCAGCTGATAAAGAGTATAATGGGAAAGTGCTTAATGACTGTCAAGTTGGACGCCAAGCTCAGCGATTTTTCATTACCAGGCTATCTCGTGGGGATCACTGAAGCAAAACTTTCAGAAAACATGGCTTGTGGCATAAAATTTCTTGTATGGCATGCGCTTAAGAAATTTGGAAGTTATCTGTTCAATGAACTTGAGCGGCCCAATTTAAAACCAATAGTGTTACAATATTAATGGCTCGGCGAAGTACATCTCGAAGAGTTCTCATCAGCAAATGTTTTATGATATTACAGGATCACTTTCTGGTGGAAATTATGGTTCTGTCAAAGAGGATATAAAACTAACTACTATTTCACAGAAATGAAACCGAAGGAAAGATTCGGTTGACAAGCCATTTTGTGAGCACTGCGAGGATTTGCGCTTTTCGGAAACGCTTCTCTAAGTAGCTCACAGAAGGAAAGATTACATGTAGTAATAATCGGTATATTTTGGTGGGGGCCTTTCAAAAATTATGTAGGCCCTTATTGTGCTTACTTCTCCGCTCCTTCGTCATCATGTGGGTCTGCTCATGGAACGATACAATGCTGAAGATAATTTTCTAAATAGTAAATGTCATACGCGATGTTTGCAGTCCTATCTCCCCCTAACAGGCTGATGCATAATCATTGCGGATTTTTCGCTTCTTTTCCCTCAATTTAATTTGAATATCGAACTCGCGATTTTCATAGATACAATGATACAATCTTCTCGACTCCCTTAACAGAAATGTGTCTAGAGGGTCATCTTCCTATCCGCCGCATTATGCTCTATCACTATGAGAAAGGTTGAGAGATGGCACAGCCATATAGTGATCTCAACGAACTTTCTGGCTATGGAACAGTCAGCCAAAGCCATGTAAGGAATGCAATCTGCTCCTACATCAAGCTCCCTTATTCACCAAAATGAACTTCTGTAGATTATCACGCCCGTTGGAATATTGGCTAGCGAACGGAACTTACGACGAAATGGATGAGTTGGTGGTCAATGTCAAGGCGTGGATAGCCTCAAAGAATCGGAACTCCTTCGACTGTGGGACCCGACTGCCTAGAAAATGGGAAGCAGAGCTTGACATAGATGGTTCATATTATCTGAACATGCCTTTGCTAAACAATTCTATCGTTTGCTAAAGTAAGATTTGTGGAAAAAAATCCGTAATAATTATGCATCAACCTAATCTATATTCCACACCGGAACACCAGAAATACAATGGTCAAGAAATGGAGAGGAGTCATTGTCACGAAAATACGAATTCTTTGGAAAAATTTAAAGTCTGATCTGGCAATCCAAATCGCCTTCACATGTAATTGCCTTTCTATGAAATTTTCACCTCCTCGTATTTTGAACTTAGTGTCCTCATTACAAGTGCTGAGTCCATCTTGTTTACCGAAACGATGGGGCGCGACCGAACAAGGTGATTGACGAATGCGTTAGTAATGTGTGACGTTATCGTTATGGATGGAAAGCGTTTCGCTTTCAGAAATAAACCGCTTCTGTCAGCGTTGTTCTTGTTCTGAGATTTTGGAGAAACTTCCCTGTTTTCTGAGAAGAAAACATGAGTCAAGCTCACCCTCTTACAATAGGACCGCGAAATGGTTCCTTATTGCTTTTGTAATGCTTCGGCCGCAGTAGTCTATTAAAGTTTTACGTTGTAAAGAAGTAGTTTATAATCTTGAACCGACTTTTTGACCAAATCCTGATTGTTACTCAAGAAACAGTATCAGACTAACATGCTGATCGCATAATGTTGTTCTAAATGGACGACCACACCCTACTTTAGAAGAGAGCCAGTCTCTCCATGTGATGGAGTCTCACTCTCTTCGACTCCATCACTTAGCACTTTCGTTGCTGACACCCTAACCGAAGGCAACGAATGAGTGAGAGTAGCTGTATGAACTTTGGAAGAGAGCTCTCAGGATAGTGATTGGTAACTTACATCCCCAGTCCAGTATAGTGAGATCGATATCGCCATAAGGTGAGAATCAATTTGAGCCAGAGAGTCATATTAATCACTAGATCGTTAGACACATTTGGTAAAATAATCAAAACAATTCAGTACGAAGTCTGCCTAAGATATCATGTGCGGTCAACGCCGCGCTTATTACAAAGGTATTGTAACAAGAGCGCCCCAATTCAGCGCATTACACCACACGCTTTGGTGCACATTCTTTTCAAGAATTATTACTTTGGATCATTAGTTCAACTGCCGATTTTTGATCATTAGTGGATTTATGAGTGCGTACTACATGCACTAATCTAGAGTTTCGAAGATCGCACTTTCAAAAGAAGGAGTAGCATCAAAAACCACATCCTTGTGCAATACTATGGCACCTTCACTACCTAAAATGATGGAATATGGGCCTTTCTTTTTGAGCAATCTATCGAAAATAAAAGACCATTCTGCCTCGCACTAGCTATTAAGCTGACAGACAGGTCGCTCCAATAAACTGTTAACCCATTGACGACCGCGTGGCCCGCCGGCGGGCCACACCATATCGTGTCCCTGTAGTATTTATATTATTTGTCATGTGTTCTTATAATTTTTCATGTTTTCGAGTATCAGCTGAGCTCACAGCCTTCTAGAGAATCTTGAGGCATTGTGGTCGAGAAATCATTCATTTCCAGGTACAGTTACGAGAGAATTAAAAGTTAATTTAAAGGCAGTATAAAAGGCGCGGTCGCCAATGGGTTAAGCCTTGGTGGTCTTAGAATGGTGGTCTTAGACCAACCTTGGTCTACGACATAAAGGCAGCTCTTTATTTTCAAACCTCAGGAAATTTCGTCGCATAATAGGCACCTTTTCGATTGGCATCGAGCGAAGCCATTACACTCAAGTCATTATCAAACAGTGAAGTTGTTAAGTTGTTTCTCTGGAAGGTGGGTCATGACACAAGAATGAAAACTTTGTAAAGCTGGCCTGAAGGGTGTGCCCGCGAGTCAGGGGCGGGTCGTGTAGTTCTTTCTTCGTCGACCATGCAGCTACGACAGCGGTTTGTCCAAGACACGGTGAGACTGATTTTTTTCCTTAGACCTTGATTTTGTTTTGGGACTGTTTACCTTTATTTCGATTGAATAATGAGCTCTCCAAAGACCATAAACAAACCAGTTCCATTGCGACATCAACAGCGAAATCTGGATCTACTGCTTTTACTATCTTCCTTGGATACTGGCTCCTAATCAGAGATTGGCTTTATAGAGGTGTACATANAGCTAAATGGTGGAGTGATTATGAGCACTTTGTTTTCAGATATTATTTGTGGCTCTGTTAGCGATAGTATATTCACAGACCACTCCACTCTTCCCAGTGGCATGTGAGCTGAACGTGCTCATTGTCCTCGACAGGTGGATTACAGTTTTCTGCTTCTACGCAGAATTTTCTGCAAGAGTTTGTTCTTTTTCAGATCAGATTCAGTCAAAGGTGGCTTCAATAAAAGCCGAAAATTCGTCACAGATGTATCTGAGGAGCTTCAGATTGGGCCACGTACTCATCGGGTAAGTCAATTCTAAGAATTCGATTAATTTCTTGAGGGACCTTGTACTCTCTTCACCTTTCAGGTGGCTATGATTGTTTATTCTGGTCTGAATTATCGTCGAGAGATTTATCCATGGAACTTTGCCAAAACTAACGAAGAGTTCGTGAGGATCACAAATGACTTACGAGCAATCGGAGGAACAACAAATACAAAAAAAGTCGCCTCTCACACTGTTCTTATTCTTTTTTCATAGAGCCTGCGATGAATTACTAATTTCCAGGCTCTCGAAGTTGGAATTGAGTTGCTGAATCAACGGAATGTGAGCATTCCAACACTTGTTTTGGTTGTTACAGATGGAAGGTATGATAAACAGAGTTGTTTGTTGTTTGACTGAGAAAGTCAACTACTCAGGAAAGAAAACTAACCGCTTGTTCATGAGTGTCAGTTTATATTATAGGTCTGCAGACGATCCTAAGGGACCGGGACAGCAAATACAGCGCATGCCGAACACATGGGTGTTCGCGGCTGCCACTGGAGATCCGGAAAAAGTTGATAAGTTCGTTAATTTTGATTCTAAATGGGGTAATCTTGAGGCAACTGAAATTTTAGCCAACTTGTAATAGTTGGTCAGCCCTGCCCTCTTACCTTCGTTCGAACAAACTACCAGCAGCCAGCAAGAGTTGACCCTTTACCTCGTCAATATTTTACAGCAATAGGCTAACAAAAGGCTTTCTCTTTACGAAGTTCACTAAGAGGCGCTCAGCAATTTTGCTGCAATAGTATCCGATTTCTGTTGCATATATCGGCTAGAATGTTATTGTCGAAAAGGAGGCGTCGCGGATGACACAATCTAAGTAGTCTTTGCTTGCCCTCCGGATGTCCGCAAGAATATGGCAAATGGATTGAACCACTTCATTTTTGTACTTCCCATCCTCCCATATGATACGTCTGATGATCTATTCTGTTTTTCACATGAGCACGAGTTTACGTACGCAACCAAACGACGAACCAGTGAGAGGGCACATAGTTTCTGGGATTATCAAATACGCTTTGAAATGCGACCACGCCATGACTTGTGTTTTTTGGATGCGTACGTAATCCATCAGAAGCCAAAAGTATTATAGAATAGAGCAAAATGGCGCCATATCGCAAACCAGGTCGATACTCTCCCAGACCAACCAAGCTCTAAGCCTTCTAAGCCTCCCATAAGCTTTCCACCCTTTCGAGTCCGATTATCGGTACTATTATAGATTGGTCTGAGTTGACAAGATGAGTGACTTTACATCGGCTGGCCATCACACATCGTCAAAAACGGAGTTTATCGGCACCAAAAGACCAACATTTTCTCATTCTTCTACAGTTTTCGGGCAATTCAGTGTTTTTTACTTCCGAACGAGTTCCATCTCTAGGAGACTACCACAACCTGTACCAATACACGGCCCTGAAACTTAAAAAGCGTTCAATAGTTCATTGGCGAGGACCACCGGGATTCAGTTTATCAGTGCTTCAATGTTTTCAATACAGAATAGTGACAGTTGAACAATCCGGATCGCTACATTAGTTATCTGATTTGATACTCGGGGTATATCGTGACATGAACTGCACTGGATTTTCACCACTTGCCTGATGAGCTTTCTTCAACTTTCGTGGCCCGCCAATCTCGGGATCGGTCCTACCCAGGCTCCTAGGCTTAAGTTTTGTGATCTTAGTTCGTTTAAAGCACAAAGGACGATAGATAAAGTTTTGGGACGTTGAACAATCCAGTCTGAGGGATGCGTCCCCGCTCCGACTGATGTTTAGAAACGTAGCAGCGTATTGAATGCTTGTGGTCTATACAATGACTTACGGTGGCCTGGGGAGCCGATGTAAAGTCACTGCTTCATACTTCCAGAGGAGTCTCGTACCAATTCACTGAACCTGGGCAAATGAAGAGTCGCATGGCCTGCGCGGATGGCCATCCGGGATTCGAACCCGTGACCTCGCGTGTGAGATAGTACGCCACTCATACCCTCCCTTAGCTTCCATACTTTAGAACTATCCCGTGAAACTGTTCGATCCTCGCACCATTTGAAAAATCGATCAGATCATGGGTTAATGCATATTCAAACAAAGAACAATTATTGAGTGGTGTACTCGATTGGAATAGTCATATTTTCCTTTGAAAGAGATCCACACCCAGTGGCCGTACACTAATCTTCGATTTCGGTACTTTCGCGGTTTGTTGAACAGCATCCCTGGGCAATAACCGGTTTGGTAGAGAGCTTAAGGCACGGTAACTCGACAATAATGACCTGCTTCTTGAATGAGAAAAATCTTCAAGTGTGGTGCTTGGGTCACACATGTAGTGAGCGCTGACACGTTATTATATTTTCTAATATGGCGATGTTCCCTTCTACTTCTCATCGAACCTTCGACTGTCTATCCAACATGGATATTGGCGACAAGAAATGGTTTGTTACCAGACCAGAGTTACTAGCGACAGCTTCTTATTCGCCACCATCTCGAATCTCAATTGTCAAAAGTCGACCATCATCCAAAAGGGGTTCTTATGTGCGTTGGTGGGTTACAAGAGGAACTGCTCGCTAGTAACTCTTTATAGCAGTGCTCCACTTAATGCAAAATGTACCGTGCGGCCCGACAGCATGGTGGGCAAGTTGAAAGGAGAACTAGATCGAGTTCATTCTCTTGCAAAAAACACTTGAACGCATATTGTCTTGCAAAAAGCACTTGACCACATATTGTCTTGCAAAAAGCACTTACCGCAGATTGGTAAAGAAAGCCGGAAAAAAAGAGAGAGTCTTGGTTGGCCATTTCTTCATCGTCTTTCCTTATAGACCTAACTTTGCTCCGACGAATTACTACACCTTCCGATCTTTAGGTTACTACACGCTCCGCTCTTAGGCTACTTCCTATATAAAAATCACGTCCCAGCACAGACTAACTTCGAATCTACCTTATCTCCTTTGACCAGAAGTCAATGAATTCCAAGGGTCAGATGTCGAACAACCAACCTAGCACTGGCAGTATGTTGTAGTATGTATGTTGTAGATAACAAAGGCAAATATGTTACAAGATGATCATGTCCGAGTACAAATAAAGCAAAGTTAAAACGAAGGTAGTCAAGGTAGTCTGGGAAATGTGGGCCAGTCTGTTTTCTCAAATTCACCATCCTTGTGAGATATATATTCATTTTTTTTNTTTTTTTTGCATTAAACTAATTATATCGTACGTGAATGAGAACTGTTGATTCGCTGCACCCCTATTTACAAAGCCGTCGTCAAATTCGACGCGATAGGACTCATCTTTGCTCGTCTTTAATTGACATAAGTAGACAAAGTTGTTAGAACGTTAATAAAATGAAGAGCTCTGTTTCGCTGGTATGCTTGGAGCTCATTTGCTTTTCTGCAAGTTCATAGCTGTCAAGTATATGAATCAAGCTAGAGCAAACCTGGCGTAGACACCTTTTCTTGGGAGTTTTTGATCATCGCCTTTTACCAGACAGCACTTGACAAGCATCACATGTCTTAGAAATCCTCTTGCTGTTTAGCAACTCTTTCAAGGAAATGTTCTATGATCATGAAAACTTCGGGTTAGGTCTCGAAATAGTGCATACGGTAGTTTGCGGCTTTTATAATGTAGTCTAGAGGGCCGGATTGCAAGGAAATTTATATGGAAAACCAGGCGACTGTATTTTTGTACTTAGAGGCATGAAATTCTGGCAGGTGTCAAAACATGGTCATGATACTGTGTGTGCCCTTTTTCCAAAACGGAGCGATTCAGAGGAATAGTACGGGGCAGTTATGAGTTTTGCAAAAATCCATTTCAATGTAAGCCGTTTGTGATCGAATAAGAAGATCCTGGGATTGGGAACTCGCATACCAATTGCAGACGCCATCGAGTCCCACACGAGCCCTTCACTAGCTAGAGTTCCTCTACTACTGAATTCACATGGTAGGGTCAGTTGAAGAATCCAGAATGCTCATTACTGAAAACCTTACTACCTTACAGTAGGGATGTCAACCTGCGTGAATGAGGTGGGCTAAGGCCGACAGCCGCCACAGCTTCCAGGAAATGTTCCTGTTTGGTTTTGAGATGTTGCATACAATGACTACGGCATTTCTAGCTTATAATTTATTTCAAGAACCATATTGGTCACAAACATGGTTTGATAAAATTCGAGTAAATGCAATTTTCTAGTTGTCCTGCCAAAGGAATGAATTTGTGTATGTACATCGATATGCCTGAGATTCTGTGCTGAATTTAGGAGCGTGCAGTAGGAGAAAAAACAGAAATGTAACGAGGTGATTCTAATCAAAGGCGGATTGCCGTGGAGCGATTAGTTGTGAGGGGCCCTATTTGTTCACATAAAATGATCAAAATCCATGAATCCAATCTTTTTCAAAATTGAACTATAACCTCACTCCCGGAATTGAGGGAATCATGTATGTATACTCCTTGGGAACTTTCTTCTCTAGCTAGCTATTCGACTTCGAACGTGACCATCCGGAAATCTATATATCTAAGGATAAAGCCTAAAGGATAAACATTGGGACATAATCATTCCCGTCTCAGGTATGTGCCTACGCATACGACTTCTATTCAGGACCATAGTGGCGTATTGTATCGTATATGGCCTATACAATGACTTGCAAATGTACAAGTCTGTGCTTTTATCGTCCCAGTCGAATCAAGTAAAGTAACCGACCTCGGAGGAATAGAAGGCTCGGCCAGAAGGATATCGATCCAGGATTTCGAACCCGGAACCATGCTCGTGTGTGAAGCGCGCCACTTTCCACCACACCACCTCCGTCCTACACTCTAAATATGAGCAACTTGAATCTCGCTTTCATTTCGAAATATAAATAGGATAACATCTCTTTTTCGCATTTATCGTCTCAAATATTTGGAACAGGTACCTCCGGCAGAATTAGTATGGTACGATAGGTAGCCAAGATGGTTTTCGGTAGTTTATGGATAGTTATTCCCTATTCCCTGTAATGTGGTATAGTATTTGATATCACTTGATCTCTTCAAAAATGATCACCTCCTTATTATTGATCATCAGCCGTAATGAAGGTATAGGTAAATCCTCCGTCAACCCACATGTAAAAAATGAGGTATTCTTCCCTTTCTGTGAATGACCTCAACTAGAGATGTTCTTTGCAAAGTTCAAATATTTAGAAGCGGTTTAGTGAATGGCCGGATTTCTAAAAATATTCATGCACCCGCGGCAGTTTGCCTATTCGACGACTTTCAGGCGAGAGCTGATGGACATAACTGGCAATATTAACCATATAGTACTTCATCGTGGTCGCGATCTCGCCACAGACATCACCAGACGGCTGCTCCGGCAAGCGCAGGTAAGCTGGTGTTCGTGAGGCGCACCAATCCAATTGGGCTTCATTCATGGTTCCTCCTCAATGATTTAACGTATATGTTGGGAAGACACGAATTTGGCGTTGTGATTGCAGTGGGTGCGGGGATCGGGAGCTTCTGATATCTCACATGTGAAAAAGCTCATGAACTTACAGGAGAAGTGCCGCACGACAACAACCACCACTACGACTACCACCACAACCACAACGACTACAACCACCACCACTAATCCAATCACTGGTGACAATTTACTTCGGAATTAACTGATTACCTCTGAACTATATCTTCCCTAGGATGTGAAATGGATCTGGTACTTGTGCTCGATTTCTCCACAACAACCGATCCTGTATACAAATTTTATAAGGAAATGTCTCAAAGGCTAGTTGGTTCCCTCCGAATCAGCCCTTACCATACTCAGGTTTGTGGATACGATTCCTAGATTAACTCATTTTAAATGGATTCGTGACCATTGCAGGTAGCAGTCGTGACCTTTGCCAATGTCGGTCGGACCAGGACAAAGTTCAATTTGAAACGATACAAGTCTAAGGAGGAGGTTATAAAAGCTATCGGTGAATTGGAAAGCCGTGGAGGCACGACTGCCATAGGTGATTCCCACAAAAATCCGATTTCTTGATATCGCTGCAAGCAGATCTTTGATGCTTGCACTTGACCGCTTTGTTCCCTTCGTTTTCACGTGATTTTTTCATCTATCTGACGAAATCTATCATTCGGGTTAGCCTCTATTCTATTTCACCCTTACTATCTGACGCCCTTCGCTGATGTTTGTCATTTTAATTGCCCTTGTCCTTTTGTTCGAAGGACATCAACCGATAACAGAGGAAATCAAGTTTCTCCTAATCGAGAATAGTGTGGCACTACGAAAATGGTATAGGTCGGGGGCATTATGACGTTATCAACGGCTGGGGGTATTGCGGTGGAAAACCTGTTCTGTCCAACACCACCGTTCAGGTCGACTAGCTACAACGACCCTCTTAACTATGTATTCCTTCAGTGAAGGAATAAGGCACAAGTGTATCTAAGCTTTTGTTCCGAGGACTTTCAAGAAAGAAGAAATGGAGGCACTGAAACGAAATTCATATTGAGAACAGTCATTCCCACCCCCTCTCGATGTTCCCGAGCGAAAGCAATTGAACTATGTCACTGAACTCTGTTGGCGGCTCAACAGAATTTAGTAACGTAGTCCAATTGCTGCATACAATTTTGTTCAAACAAAAAGCGTTAAACTTTCGCGCTGCCGGATTCTATTGTGAAAGAGAAGGTTTTCTATTACATAGAATCGTAGTGGCGCGTGAATGTTAGCTAATAAAAGAAAATGTGCGAACCAGCCACACATGGAGACAAGGCCTTTGCTTCACCTGGCAAGAGTGGTACCTATCAACTGACCCTGGTGGGGTTGATGTATGGTTGGTCCAATAGAATCTTGGTGGGGAATTTGATCCCTTGACCATCTTTATGGTAAAGTTGCCTTCGGCACTGCCTCACCTCGGTTTGTTTTTTTATTCGTAAGGAATTCTTGTTGGAATGAATGAGCGCATGCGTATAAAAGTGCTGATCGAGGGTTTCCAGGTGAGGCAATCAGAGAAGCTGCTAAACAAGCTCAGAAAAGGGAAGGAGCCAGACCAGGAATCGCTACAAAGGTATACATCTCATAATTATTCCATTTCGCTATTGATCACTTGAACTCATCGATTTGTAGGTAATGGTGGTGTTCACTGACGGCTGGAGCAATAAAGGACCTGATCCAGAGGCGATGGCTAAAGAAGCCACTGCGATGGGATATGAAATTTACTCCGTGTCTTATACGGTATGTTAGATTTCCCGAGCGTTGTGGTGAGAGTCTCGTTGAAAACATTCCTTATACCTTCTACCAATTATAACTATTATACTAATAGTTATTACTAATAGTATCTTGAAACGCCCTATCAGATTACTGTATTGACCATAATTCCGATCAAACTGTTTTCATTAATGAATTGTTAAGCTTGTTTTGAGCAAGGGAGTTCAACAAGAAAGTCGATGGAATGGATTTAAACTCTGCAAGAAAAGTACCAGTCATGGCTTTTTGTGATCAGTTTCAGTGATTCTCGTAATTAGACACCTCTGATCAGTCGCTTTCTAAGACTCCTCTTCGAATTCATCCATTTTTAGTAAAATGCAAAACTTTATAGAACGAGCTTACTGTCTGGCTCCTATGTGTTCCTTTGGAGGAGGCTTCAGTAGGTTCTTCCAAAACTAGAGCGAAGCTCGCTGAAGGCCGATATTCCCTTTTGTGTGGATTCCATCTGAGCTCGCCTCGAAAAACTCAAACTTCATTCCGAAAAAAAANAAAAAAAATGGCCTCCCATGTTTCGGAATGATTGTTTTTTAATGACAAGAAGTAAATTCATGTTCTCGATTTCATTCCTCATCTGGAACATTTTAGGGTCACGTTGAGAACGCTGTGACGATCAACCACTATACGTTGGAAGCTGTAGCAAAGGATCCACAGCATAGTTATACTGAGAAAAACTTCGATGAATTAATCAACAAGGTCCGACAACGAAATCTAAAATGCTTGTGAGAATCGTTCGATATTCACTTGCGTTTACGTTGTACATAGAGATTTCGGCTAATGCTAGCGCTATACGGATATTCATCGTATGTCTCCTCATGATCATTACCTTTCGCTATGTATAAATTACTGAATGCTTGCTCAGGCTCTGTCTGTCGTGAAAGTTCCTTGTAAAGACTGTTTTCATATGCTATCCAATATTTTTAATGAATCTGTTTTTATACTGCGTTATCTTGTGCTTAGTTTAGAAGGACCTTCAGTTGAAACTCATCGAGGAGTTAATAATTTGTCACCCGAATTGCATTGCACTATTCGTGAATAGTGTTATGGTTTGCGAAAAAGGGATGGTAGTCGAGAACTGCTGCTGGTTAGATAGAGAAATCAATCTCTTCTCGTGTCAAAGAGTAGTTGACAGTGTCGAACAAAATGGAATTTCACTTCGATTCGACCTTCTAGCACTCCCCTCGGAGTTGAATAAAACAAATCCAATAGAACAATTCATAAGAACTTCGTCAGGTTTTTAAAATGCTTCACCGTTGCTACGATGATGATACCTGTTGTGTGAGAGTGTGGCCAAGAACTAGCCATTTATTCAGGGTGCGACAAAATTTCTGGCAAAGGCCGTTTCAGGTTCTCTATGAAAAAATGAGGCCTTCGATTTCGACAGGATCTGTGCCATTATTTACTGCAAGTCCTCTTCTATACATTCCATGAATGGGCCGTTCTTGAATATGCCATCTTACACAATGGTGACAAGCAAAAACCAACGAGCCTCCATCCTGCACCTCCATCTGGCTGGATGCACGGCAAAGACCATCTTCAAACAGCTACAGATTCCCTTAAAAACCGTGTACAACAACGTTAACAGGTACAAGACGACAGGATCTATGGAGGACAAGCCCAAAAGTTGAAGACTGAAGAGTGCAACGACAAAGGAGATCGTGAAAGTCATTCGAGAGAAAATCCGTCACCACCCTCGAAGGTCTCAGAAAAAAATGGAAAATTTGAGGTGGGTATTTCTGCTCGATC